ATGGCAGACGAGGTCACAGAGGTAATGGCGTCGGGGAAACGTGGATTTCAGAGTCTTTAAAATGCTCAGTTCTTTTTTCAAAAATTTTAAGAGATTTTAATTTTGTTTTATTTAATCCAGTGTCTTCCATAGGTTATTTCAACATGGAATCTGATGTGTATGCCACTTTGAAGAATGGTTGAGAGTGATTCTCAGCATTAACCTTGAGCGTGCACATGCACACAGACACATATGTCATATATATGCCTACACACATGAAAAATAGAAAAAGATAAAAAAAATTCCTAGCCAACTTCCAGGAGTTTACAATCCATAGCTCTGAGAGAAACAGAGAGCAGTAGGATTGATTTTTAGCTTGGAGCCTATTTTGCTCTATCAGCAATCTAGAACATGTTGCCTGAGGCGCAGAGGTACACATGAAAGCATAGGACAGCATCCCGTTTTAATGTGATAACAGTGCAAATGAACGAAATGCAAGCTTATAAGTCTACCAGTATCCTTCCATTCAGCAATCCTTCACTACAGAAATGATTATAAAACCTATAGGAACCCAACTGATAAAAATAGCCATATGAATGGGCAAAATCTAAGGAAAGGATATTCCTTGCACCATTGTATGTAATAGCAAAACAAGGAAATGACTTATTCTAGTATTAATTTTCTATTTGTACAGAAGAAAGAATCATGCATATACTATGAAATATTATGTAGTCTTTAAAACAAATAGGGCAGATCTGTAGATATAATTGGGCATAAAGACTAAAAATGCTTTTTATGCAGGAAAATCAAGTTATAGAATAATATGCATAACATGATCAGTTTTCCATTAAAAATCATTGTGTGTCTCTTGAGAGGATTTTGTTTCTAGGTTTTGCTTGTTCATTTGTTTGTTTGAGATAGGGTCTCAGACTCTTGCCCAGGTTATCCTGAACTCACAGAAATCTCCCTACCCTCAGATTCCCGTGTAGTGGATTACAAGCATGAGCTGCCACACACAGGTTCATTGTGTGTTTCTGTGTGTAATTGTATAGAAAAAGCTCTGTGGTACATACCAACAGCCTGTTGCTTGTGGGCATGAGGATGAAATTGAACTAGACAATGAACTGAGGACGGAGGGCTAGAGATGGGATTTTCTTTTATACACTTCTGTTTTTGTTTAAATCCCTTTGCATTCTAAATGAATTGCTTTTATTTTTTTTAAGTTAAAAATGAGGGAGTAATCTGATACCACGCATTTCTGAACGTTCCCAGGAAAGAACTCTGAAGGCAGTAGCGTATTTGTTGCAACATAATCAGTGTGTCACTGTCCATGTGATGGGAACAGCGTCTAATGTGCGCTGTGTGGTCTTTGGGAAAAATACAAAGTTTTTGGGCTTCAGTTTTCTGAAAATGGAGATAATACCTGCCCTACTTATTTTATCTCTAGTCATGGGAAGAAAATGGAAAAGCAGTTTAAAAATTATAAAGCCCTCCAAAAATGTGAAGACTAATATTTCATGTGCCATTTAATGGCCCACTTCTTTTGAGCAGTGGTCAAGCAACATAAAACTTCAGTTTCAAAGGGAGAATTTGCATGATTTCTTGGAGTTTAATGGAACCCCCTAGGTTTTATATGAACACAGTATAGACATTCTCCTTAAATGTTCCAGAGTGTTTTGTGGGAAATATCCCGTTACAAATAGGTGTTGGCAAAACTCTCAAATTGTTTACTCCACTACATAGAGCCAACTAGTTCAGCCATGTTGCGTTAGTCAACGTGCTTTTCCATGTTCAGGGTCTAGCATTATTACGTGGGTGGGTGGCTAGATATCCAGGCTTGTCTGGATCTGTTTCATTTTACCCTGTCCATCTCATTTAATTACCAATAATGCTCTTTTCTTTTTTTCTTTTTTCCTTTTTTTGGTTTTTTGAGACAGGGTTTCTCTGTGGCTTTGGAGCCTGCCCTGGAACTAGCTCTTGTAGACCAGGCTGGCCTCAAACTCACAAAGATTCTCCTGCCTCTGCCTCCCGAATGCTGGGATTAAAGGCATGTGCCAACTGCCCGGCTCAGTAATACTCTTTCATTCCCCCAAAGTTTTCTAGTTATAAAGATCAATGTCTTAGGGTTTCTATTGCGGTGATAACACAAGACAACCAAAAACAACTTGAGGAAAGTGGTCTTTGGTTTACATATCCCAGGGCACAGTCCATTGGAGGAAGCCAAAGCGGTACGTCAAGGCAGGACCTGAAGCAAAAACCATGGAGAGATGCTGCTTAGTGTCCCTTGTCTTGCTCAGTTTGCTTTCTTATACAACCCAGGACTACAGTGGTCTGCACACACCCCACATAAATCATTTAATCAAGAAAGCATCATATAGACTTGCCTACAGGCCTGTTATTGAGGCATTTTCTCAGCTGAGATTCCTTTGCCAGATATGTCTAGATTTTTTTGTCAAGTTTATAAAAATAAAACAGGCAATTGGTTATATTGAAACTCTGCTACGGTCACATATGGAATGTTGGAGGAAACATAGAAATCCCCTGGTTGAAAAGCACTGTACCCAAAAAGGAGACTAGGTCATGAATTTGAGAGGGAGTGGAAGGGAGAAAGGGAGGAATTCTCGTGGGGAGGGAGTAAAGGGAGTGGAACTGATGGAAATGCAGTACTCATACAGTGAAATTTTCAACAAAGCAAAAGAAAACAGAAAATGGCTCAGGCTAAACAAGCTCTTTCTTTACTCACCTCCATAGAAATGCCAATGTTTTCTAAATGCGAACGCTGGCTCTTTTGGAGATTTGATGGCCTTAGAATCCAAAGCTTAACCAGGGCTTAGAAGAACTGGTGAGGGCCTCCAAAGGGCCAGCCTACAAGCTGTCCGCTAGTTCAGAACTTTCCCTACACTTTGTCTCCAAGTCGCATTGATTAATTCTCTTGATCAGAAATGTATTTAGAGGACAGAAGCAATTGATCATCAAACAATGAAAAAGGATTGCAAATTGTTCATCGGTTCCCTCCTGCCCTGAAGGTGGGATCTTCTTTTACAGAAGGGCTGCTTCCTGGAGGAATACAGATAGAAAGGAGGAAGAACTTTGGAGTATTAAGTATCTGCGGAGTGAATTCTCCCATAATGACAACCTCAGGGGACTGTGAAGGTGGGCTCAGAAGGGAAAGGAGGTATCAAGGACACACGATACTGATTTGCAGAAAAATGTCTCGTGCACAATTCCTACCTTGAAGAAGAAAACCTGGTTTTCTCTGCCATCTGCTATTTCTTCTCTTTCTCCCCATTCTCTATTGCTCAGTACACCAAATTAAGCTGGTTCTCAAGGAAGGTCTGCATAGGTCTGGGAATATGACTCATCATATTGCTGCTGCAAGAATATGGATTATTGGGTCCATTTTGGGACCCACTCTTAAGTGATGACCTTCCCACAAAAGGCTTAATCTTTCTCCCCGAAGGAGCTCACTGTCCTCAAAGGGCACACTGTCACTGGATTTAGGTGAGACTCAGTTAATGAAAAGGAAACTCCAGGGAACATTTGAGTACCAACTTCCAATATTGATCACCTCCAAACAAAATGTAAATTGATAAGCAAGGGCACCCAGAGGAGGGTTGACATGTATATTTATTTACAAAGTCTAAGCATGTGCTTAGGCAGCAAAATGAGGGAAAGGAAAACTCTAAGGAATGGAAGTCCTTAAGGTTTGGCATCAGACATAGGTGTGGATAGGGAAAGGTTTAGAAGGAGGAGTCTGTTCTGATGAACATGAAATGGTTTTCTGAAGAGGGAGGAATTCACTTGGCTGAAGAAAGATAGAGGTAAAATCGGTTTTTTTTTTCCTAAATTAAAGTTCATAAAGCATGTCGTTTGAAACGGGCGTTTTTCATCTGACTAAACACTGAGCAATAAATCTCTACGGCATTTCCTGTGGCTAAAGTTGAGATGTAATGAGGATCAGATCATAAGTAGCTGGGAATCCAGATGCAGGACTCTAGGCATGCTGGCAGTCCATGGAGAGTGTTACTGAAAATGCCTTACTAGAGTTGGGGCCTTAGCCCAAGACTGGGATACAGGATGAAGAAGTCCAGAAGAGCCTTCACAAGGCAGGTGCTGAGAGTCACTATAGAGCTGGAAGCAGGACGAGGGGATGCCCTTAGGTTTCTCAGAATATCTTAAAAAATGCTCACCTTCTCCCATGCCCACCTAGTGAACCCCTAATTTCCAAACAAACCCCGTAGCATCTAAAAAGTAACTTAATTCTGCAAAAACGCAGACTCAACTAATGGAAGACTTGGAGCATCTATTAACTCCCCTGATTTTGCACATTAAGTTAGTGAGTATTGCATCGTTTCTAACTTGGAAGACATAAGAATGGAATTTTACTTCCATTTTTGATAGATGATGAGCCTTAAAAAAAAGCAATGTGTTTAGAATTTGTTCCCATAGGAATGAACACGTTTTTACTTCACAGTCTCTGGGCCCTTTCTTTGAACCTCAAATCCCCAGGGAAGCCTATATCACCGATTGACTAACCTAGTTTATGAAAGGTGCTTAGTGGGTTAATGCTCTAAGACTTTCGTGGAACTATGTGAAATTAATTAGCCTTGTCAAATTTTATTTGCTTAACTTCTCTCCAACTATATCTTCATGGACCTACTTGAAATTAATTAACCTTGTCAAATTTTATTTGCATACGTTCTCTTACAACTGTATCTTCTCTCCTCCACGTACAAGTTTTTAATAAGCTTGCTTTTAAACAATGTGAGCTAAGAGAATCTGTACAAAGAGCTGGAAGAATTTAAATCCATGAGTTTATTTTTAACACAGTAGCAAATATATCAAGGGAACACACCCGGGGAAAAGTGTTTCAAATAAACACAGATCTGCTGGGAGAGAGGTCTGTACCCAATAAGCAAGCTGGAAGAGGCCTATTTGCTTGGTGATGCCCAGCAGATAAGCCGGGCAAACCTCGGTGTGATTGAAGAAGCCAGTTTCATACTAGCCTAGTTCAGGCAAACTCCTGACGGGCACCTGCTGCTCCAAGCAATTCTCAGGATGATGGTGTTCGCGTTTTGGAAGGTCTTTCTGATATTAAACTGCCTTGCAGGTAAGGAATGGATCTTCCAATTATCGCTAGCAACCGGAAGTCGAATTGCTCTTTAGACTAAAATTGCAAATTTTTACAGAAATCTTCCTCTCCCAGACGTCCAAGAGACTGTGATTAGTGTGCTGTTCTTTCTCTTTTCAGAACTTTTGTTTAGCAAATATGTTCCTCCGTGTTGATGATTGGGAGGTCAGTCTGCAGTAAAATTGGCTTACACCGCTTCTGAAATATGTTTTCCAGTTGGTTTTCCTAATTTTTTTTATTTAGTTTGAAAGGTGAACAAGGGAATTTACTCAGAAAGCAAAGTTTGTGCTTAAAGATAAGATTTCTGCGTTAGCTCACTGTTTCCCCAGAGTTCACCATGATTCACTCACTTTGCCACAACAAGCGGAGCCAGGGCTCAAGACTGTGTGAGCGAGCATATTTGTCTCGGTGACGAGAGAGACTCATAGAGCGCTCGGTTAGCAAAGATTTCCTCCAAAGTCTGGTTTTCAAGTTGTAGGAATGCATTGCAGAAATTACAGTATGGTTGGTTTTAGGGATTTGAGCAGAACAAAATCATTTTTAGAGACTCAAACTGTTTTGTTTGTTAAGCCCGGAAGAGGTAATTAATTTGGAAAGTCTCTTGGCTGAGGTTTTAAAGCAAACGCCATGTGTCTTTTCAATCTGTTCTGATGGTAAGTTAAGTTTGTGGTAGCTACAATAATGTTTATCAAACATTATTTTTAAGTCATGCATAATGTTAGTCTGTCAGTAGCTTACAATTTTATAAGCATATTTAGTGATATGAAAGCCTGCTCAGGATAAAATATGTGAAGTGTCAAGACATGCAAACATTAATTATAATAAATTAAAAGAAGGAAATATAATAATCATGGTTACTTCTGAGTTATATAATTAAAGATTTTGATTTTATTTTCCTGATTTTTTATGATTAGGAAAAATACTAATTCTAATATTGTCTTCTGGTTAGTAGTAAATCTTTAAATATCCATTCTTAAATGTTTAAACAAAGATGTTCTATGGAGTCAAAAGTCACCGGAAAGCAATTTTGAATTTATTCTATGATCTTTCCTGGCCATAGAGCCTGAAACGTGTTACTTAGTTACTTTACCTTAGAATTTTGTTTCTATTTAATAAATATGGTAAATCTCTGTCATTCCCTTCGATTGTTAGCTACTTTGGTCAAACCATAAGTTTTCTGCACCAACCCTAAATGAGCACACCTTTTAATTCTTTATGTAAAGTCTTACCCTGTTCTATATTAGAGATAGGATCATAATAGGTACATGAATGACTTGTATTATAAATATATGCATATAAATCTATAATTTTACTGATGATAAATAGAATGGATATTCACTATATTTGAGAATGTGTATATTTATAAATGAAAATATAATCTTACCACTCAGATTTGAGTAAATTATCAATTTCTCTTTATAGGAATGGATATTGCATTCAAATGGAGCCTATGCCTTGTTCCTCATTTTTTATTATTTAAACTTAGCATGATGCTTGGATCTTGTTTGTAAATTTCAATAGATGGCCCAATCAGAGTGAGCCATAAACACCTGGGTATTTTTCTTAATTAGTGGTGTGGTTTTGTTGTCATTGACATATGCAGTGTTTTAGCGGGCCCAAAGCAAACTCGGATAACACAGCAGGTGACGTGGAAATGGAGTATAATATAATATCATCCACTGTAGTCGCATTCGTGTGAACATCAGACAAAAGAAGATTTAGGTAGTCTATATGTGTTATTCACAGACATCCAAGTCACTTCACTGTCCTGAGCCATCAGCTGATGGCATGGCTGTAGGAAAACTGATAATGTCTCTCTAAAAGTACAGTTTTATACTTAACCTGCATTTGTTTCATAGAAAGGCTATTTTTTTTGTATCAAACATGTTGCATAGTAAACATGTTGTAAGAAAAATTCGCTACCCCCAAACCCAAACATCTGGAAATGGTTTTCATAGTCACATTTAAAATCAAATTTCTGCACAGCTAATCAGGAAGACATTAGTTTAATCAAAATACTTTCAGCAATGTCTGAGGTCTTATTTTAATTTCCATTTCAGCAAAACTAATTTTAGTTAAAACTTTCTCCTGCAAAAATTGATGCAGATCGTTTTAGCTCCATGTGATATGTAATTGTCACCTGGTGGAATATGTCACTCTTGTTTTCATCTAAGGGAGGTATGCATTCAAAAGAAGTAATATATTTGAATGTTGGTTTTGAAATCAAACGCAAAAATTGTATGATCCTTTGGTTATATTATTCTGCAACTAAAAAAAAAATGAAGCAACTTTACATGGAAGGGGGCAGAAATGAAATCACTTGAAGTGCACCCGGTCAGTACAGCCAGTTGGGCAGTATTTTTGCTGTGGCACAGTAGTAGTCTACTAATCCTCCGAATAAGCAAGGGCCTTACCCACATTTTAGGCATTAAATGGGTGCATAATCATCACCAAAATAGAGCACATTTAAACTCTTTAGAATGCTGATTAATTTAAGCATACACATCTTGAATTATGTTCCTTAGATGATAAACACTTATTTTTAGAAGCAGCCATGTACATTTCAACCACATTCACAGTTTTGCTTTGTTTATTAATTCAATCAAGTCATGGAGGAAAATTGTAAGTCAGGGTTTTGTTTTGTTTAAATCGGGTATTAGTCTTCAGCCTATTACTTATGTGCATTCGGTTAATGTGGGTATTTTTATATTGTTTTTCAATATAAAGTAAATTTAACCCAAAGAAAGAATTCTTTTTCTTCTGATATTCACAGAGCTACCTCCTGGTTAGTACTACGTTTGCCCTGTTCATTATCTACATGTGACTATCTAAATTTAAATTAATTCAAGTTAAGTAAAATTACACCATGACCTCATCAGTTTTCCTAGCCACATTCCATGTGAGTAGTGACTACTAAACTGAATGGGGTGGAGCCAGAATATTTCCACGTCCACCTCCATCTTCAGCTTCACAGAAAGTTCTATTGGACGGTGGTGAGCTAGAGCATGATCTTAGAGGATTAAATAATATGCAGTAACAGAATGCTTTCTTTCTTTTTTTTACTATCCAGATCTTTATTTTCAATCACACTGTCCAATCCAAAGATACAAAGCTGTTTACAGAAGTGGTTTATTCTATGTACAAGACAGAAAATACAAAAGACTGATCCGAGCTAGTAAAGCACATTTGTGAGGCTCTTCAAAGGGACATAAGAGCCAATTGAAAGAATGGGCAAATGCCAAAAATTGAGAAATTAAAATTATAACTAAAACTAGAAACTAAATGCCCGTGAACCCACAATGATATTTTTCCTGTGTAGAGTAGAATTAATGATAATGGAAATCATTTTTATATTCTGGGATAAAAAACACTATATCATTTTGATATATATTTATGTCTCTTATCCTGGAATATCAAAATGATTGGGCAGTTGTATTTCAGGGACTCTGTTATTATGATTGCAATTGTTTGAATCTCTGCTCTATTTACCTATTGCCATTGTACCCAAGTACTCCCATCTTCAGGCTACTGAACATTCTTGTCATAATTAACTATATGCTTTTAAATATACTATTGTTGTTAAAGAATATGTGACATGTGCATAGTTCCTCTAAATGATGTGCCATATTCTATAGATTAGTATGATGTGTTTCAAAATAGAAAAATATTGATGTTTGTGTCACAAAGCACTGAAATATTGAATTTCCTTAAACAGATGAATTGAACAGTTGTGCCATGAAGGAAATATTTTTTAAATTTTTACAACTATTTTATGTGCATGAATGTTTTACCTACATGAATGTATGTGTACCATGTATGTTTCTGGTGCCTACGGAGTTTAGAGGGGTGCGATCTGGAATGATAGGGATAGTTGTGAGTCAGCATGTAGGTGCTGACAAGGATACCGGTGTCTTCTTGAAGAGTAAAAAAATGCTCTAAACCACTGATCCATCATTTCTGATGGATCATATTGTCTTATATTAAAATATAAGAAAAATCCATTTCTGAAGGCTCATCAGAAGTGTCAGTATATGTACTTGGTTTTTAGACTCTTGTTTCTCAGTGTTTCATTTTTCTGTCATCAGATTTCTTTGGAATATTCCTGAATCATCTTCTCCATTTATATTACTGTCACTGAAAAGCAATGCTTGTGCTGAGATCATTGAGGGATTGACTTGTCTCTCTCTGCTCTCCTGGGACCTTACACCTCTTCTGTACATGTTTCTTCTCACCCTTTAAGAGTCAGGTTATACAAACAAGACTATTCATTAGTTCTTGATTTACACTTGGAATTTGAAACCCTTGCTTCTGTGGTGATATGTACACTTTTTTAGTGCTCATTGGTCTGAGCAGAGATTCTTCCCATGACTTCTTTCCCAATCATAACTCCTTTAATTTCCCACCACAGCATAATCTTCCAATGTGAAGCAATTAACGGCGCATTTTCTGCTGATGCTGTTGTTAGTACCTTGATAGCCAAAATACTCTATATTTTTTATCCTTCTTCATATTTTTTATTAAATTGCTTTTCCATTTTACATACCAACCTCAGTTCCCCTCCCTCCCCTTCTCCCATCCTGCATTCACTCCGCAGAAGGGGTAAGGTCTTCCTTGGGGAATCAACAAGGTCTGGTATACTAACTTGAGGCAGGACCAAATTTCAAAAAATAAATATAATTTATTTTTTCACTTTTTTGTTTGTTTGTTTGGTTTTGTTTTTGTTGTTTTTTGGGAAAAAGTTTCTCTGTGTAGTCCTGCCTGTCCTGGAACTCCCTGTGTATACCAGGCTAGCCTCAAACTCTGAGATGTGACTGCCACTACCTATTAAGATTAGGGGTGTGCACCACCACCATCTGGCTTCACTTCTAGGGAAAAAAGAAGATAAAAGTGTTTCTGTCTCAGGCCTGTGGGTTAAGTGTCTGTTGGGTGAATGAGTTTCATAGTGTCTGGGAAAACCAAGTTATCTTCATTATTATGTTTTCTTTTCTCATTTACTTTTTTACAAACCCAGTGTTTTGGCGATTTGTCAAATCCTCTTCTACTAAATCATTTTCTGTATTGAATTCAGATATCCTGATTGTTTCATTGATTTCTGTAGAGCAGAGAAACCATACACCTGCCTGTGGTTCACTTTGTTACAGGGGCTTCTGGAGTATGGTGTCCTTAAACAACCAAACATATGATATATTCAAACTGTTAAATCTCACAACCAGTGTGTAAATGATGTTCCATGATAAAGTTTAGATTGATGCATGTCAAAGAGATACAAGCCAAAATGAATGAGCTCCAGGTAGTCAGTGCTGAGACATTTAGTCTATTATCATTACAGCAGGAAGCAGTCAATCACGGTACTGGAGCAGTAGCTGACAGCTTTATGTCTTGATTCTCAGGCAGCAGGCAGAAAGAAAGACACGAGGCTTGGCATGGGCTGAGGTTTTTCTAAAGAAATTTATTTGAAAAATTAAAAATTAAAAACACAGATCTAAGCTCTGTTGTTTGTTGTCACTTTATTAAGGTTGGCCAATGCCTGAAAACTATCTGTTCCTCAGAATTTAAGAATTGTTTATGTTGCTGAATATGGGCAATATGAGCAATAAAATGGTTTGGTGATTTTGCTTTGCCAATTGTTACCGTGAGACAATGTATAGTGTTCTTAAAAATGTCCCATGTAAAGTTTGAAAATACTGTCTGAATTCCAATATGTAATTTCTGAGCTTTTACAATCTCAAATTATTACAGGCATATGTGTCTCTTATGAAAAATAGGAAATGTTTGAATCAGATTTGTATTGCTTATATCATTGAATTTCATTCACTACCACACTGATGGGCTAGAAATGGCTTTCTGTTGCTTTGACATGGCAGTCAGAGATTGGGATTCTCATTCAACATTGTCTCCCCAGTATTTAGCACGAAATTGATGTTCAACAGGTTCCAGTTAGATGGGAGGTGTCTGTAATATATCAGAACATCAATGATACTGTAACACATGCATCCCATATGTACAAGTATTTTTCAGTTAATTTTAAATGGAGAAACAAGAAGTCAAATAAGAGTCAGGCATTGTAGTCATCTATTTCTCTGAAGATTTTTTTCTGCATTGGTGGTGATCAAAATCAGGGCTTTACACATGCTAGCCAAGTACCCTGATCCATATTTTCAGTCCTGAAGACTTTTTTAATGTATAACTTCATCCTCAATTTCCTTTCCTCTACTTTGAATTATTTTTAAGTAAAATTAGATTATTTGTCTTCCCAGGAAACTCAAATGGAAATTATAGAACTAAAAAAATACAATAATAAAAATAAGAAACATGCTGATAGACTCAGTAGTACAGCAGAGATGACAGGAAATAGAATCTGTATCTGGTGAAACTATTGTTCAAGAATTAAGGGAAAATAATAATGAGATTCTCAGTCAAAGGGGGAAAATATCTTCATCTAGCAGGCATACCCTTGAAGAATGGCTCAAGGAATTACTTCTGAAATATAGAAGATGATAAAAAGAAAGATCTTAAAGCATTATGGAGACAAAAGGAACAAAAGAAAGGGCAGAAATATGAATATGTGTATGTGTGTGTCTGCTTTAACTCATAAATGCTGTGTGTCATATGTGATAATTGAGACAAAAACTACAGCACTCTCTTATACCATTATCCCAAGACAATGACATGTAAATATTGAGAAGGTAAGTGGCCCTAAATGTAAGTGAAATTTACACATATCACTCCAACTAGTAAAATATTGACACCAGTAGATTGCTATGTGGTGTAGGAGTTCCTTCTGTCTATGTGTTGCTTTTATCGATTAATGAATAAAGAAACTGGCTTGGCCTATAGTAAGGTAGAATTTATATAGGCGGGGAAAACTAAGCTGAATGCTGGGAGAAAAGAGATGGAGTAGGAGAAAAGCCATGGAGCCGCTGCCAGAAACAGACATGCCAAAACTTTGCTGGTAAGCCACTGCCACGTGGTGATACACGAATTAATAAAAATGGATTAAATTAATATGTAAGAGTCAGCCAATAAGGAGCTAGATCTAATGGGCCAAGCAGTGATTTAATTAATACAGTTTCTGTGTGGTTATTTCGGGAGTCTGGGCAGCCAGGAAATGAACAAGTAGCCTTACTACAACAAATTGGCATCCATTCACATATTCATACTGGTTTATTTAATCTTTTATTTTGCAGTGCTGGGAATTGAACTCAGAGTCTTGTGCATGTTATGTGTATTACAGTACTTTAAATTACATCTTCTTGTATAGAGCGCACAACCAAACAGTAGCATAATGGACGTTTTCCCCCAAGCACCTACAGAACATGGACTAAGAGAAACCACATACTGGGCCCTGAAAGCCTGAATTTAAAATAATGGAAATTGTGCACAGCATGGCATTTCAATATAATGCAACTAAACACAAACCAGTAATGAAGAGAATGAGGTTGTAGCTACTTAGTATGCCTACTTAGCACGCTCAAGTCTCTGTTTTTCATCTTCAACTCCATAAAAAGTTACTGAAGTTCCTCAAAGTGGTTTCTTTATGTGCAATATTTCTGTCTACATTTACTCTGTTAAAAATTAAAACAAAAAAATTAGGAAAATATACAACACATATTCCTTTAGTCACCAGATCAGTGACAAAAATTACCTGTTATTTAGATTTTGGTTCACTCCACTCATAAAAGGATGAAAGTGTAAAAGAAAACTGACATCTTAGTACAACCTTGGATATAACAGATCTCCCAGTAAGCCCCTCACCCCCACCACATACAGTGGTCTTGGGTATAGAACTCATCTGGAATTTTTGTAGTTTGGGATTTGAAAGCCATAGCAAAGCCTTAGCTTCTGACTTATCTAATTTTTCTTAAATAAATGCTCTGTATTCAAGGATGACTGTATCATGGGAAATCTGTATTCAAGGACCACTGTATCATGAGAAATCTGAGTTGGTTGTTCTTCATCCTCAAGCCCTTTAGTGTCCCTGAGCAAGACCGTAAGGAGCTGTGTATAACCTGACCCATATATGAATTGCTAGTCCGGTATCACTACCTCACTGTCACCTAGGTTTTGATCATCTTCATGTCATAACTTGTTAGAAACTTATGAGTTAGAAAGTCTTTCCTGTGTTTATTTTCTGCCTCAGGTCTCCTGTATGTTTCATTCTGCTCTCTTCCCTGTCTTAGCGTCACTAGACAAGATGTTTTGTATTGTGTGATGAAAATGCCATCAGAACATATGTACTACTAATTATCTGATGCTTGTCTTTTCAGGTCATGTTAGTATGGTGCAAGTGACCATCCCAGACAGTTTCTTGAATGTGACTGTTGGATCTAATGTCACTCTGCTCTGCCTCTATACCACCACTGTGACGTCGCTGGACAAGCTCACAATCCAATGGTCTTTCTTCCACAATAAGGACATGGAGCCAATTTCTGTAAGGATTCTCTAAATTATTCCCACTAAGTAGTTCTTTTTGAAAACCGTTGGGATGAGCATATGAAGGAACAGTGAAATATGAAGGAACTAGTGAGAACAATGACAAAACTTGAGACACAGAGTTTTTAGATAGCTGTTTAGGGAAGACAGTCTATCTGAATGACGTGGTCTTTGTGTTACCTTGTTTATGTTTGTCTGTTATCTCAATTTTGAATAGTCAGCACCATATATATCATGTATTCCAGAATAGCCACAGGCTTCCTCGTATGTGAAGTAAGCAGTAGCTTTTTAAAAGATATCTTCCAGAAGTCTCCCCGTTATTTCCAGAAGAATCCAGTTCACATGCCAACCCCAATGACTCTGCTTAATTTAATGACTGGGATCTGCCTGTGAAGGGAATTCACTCATTGTTCCAGATTGAGTCCTGACAATTAGAGATTCCACAGATCAGTGGAGAAGGATCATGGTAGCATTGAACCCTATGTAATCGAGGGCAGCATGAGGTTAGAAGATAAAGAATGGAAGGGGTGAGTAAGGGGTTTGGGAAGAGTTGCCAGAATAGGGTGGATGAGCACCTATGGGGAAGGATGATGATTCCACAGGCAAAATGCCTATCGCTAGATTTTCTTCATTTGACTTTGAATAGTAATTATTTTTGAAAATTATCCCAAGAGATAAAATTGTATTACAGAGAGATGTGTACATCTGGGCACATGTGTATGCAAATGCACATACTATTCGTACCTTTATACATCTCTTGAAAAAGATCTCCAGTTACCAGGTTCTCAAAATGATTCATGACCCCAAATAGAGAAGAGACAAGCACCGGTGGGATGGGATAGTCAGCGGCTCCTGGGTTGGGCTTTGGAGGAAAAGGGAGCTTTGTTCATTAGAAAGATAAGGGAACATGGCCTAGAAGCAGAAGTGGAGGGAGAGGAAAGTAAGCCTGGAGGAACTACATCTTACCCAGCTAAGCTTCTGCTTAGCTCACTGACTCTTTGTTGGTACTCAATTTCTTTACCTGAGACTGTGAACTTTTCCTTATCAAAGAGCACACCCACAGGGAGAGTCCTTCAGTGGTACCCTGTATTCAGCATTAAACAGTTTTGTTTAATATTGGTTATGGTTAGACAATATTGGTATTACTCCATGCCTCCCTCTCTTTCAAATACAGTAGAATGACAGTACTCATGGCGACAAGGCATATGAAAACACTTAAAAAATATAAAGCCCTCTCACTCTTATCCCATGCAAGCATCACCATCAACAGCAAATAATAATACTAAGGCTGGCCAGGCGGTGGTGGCGCACGCCTTTAATCCCCCCACTTGGGAGGCAGAGGCAGGCAGATCTCTGTGAGTTCGAGACCAGCCTGGTCTACAAGAGCTAGTTCCAGGACAGGCTCCAAAACCACAGAGAAACCCTGTCTCGAAAAACCAAAAAAAAAAAAATGCTGCCAGTTTCTATCCCCAAAGTGACCTGGCATGCTTGTGTCAACTAAAAAAGAATTGCTTTTGCCCACAGGTTGTTTTCAATAATCACATGATTTGTTCTTTTAAAAATTTGATTCCTTAGTAGTCCTTTCAACACATTGTCCTTCTCTTTTTTCTAGTGCTAGCTGAATTTAGAGAGACCCCAGCATCTTTTGAAATGTCTTGTGCTTGATACTCAATGCAAGATGTACTCGACTTCCTGGAGGCCAGGCAAAGCGAATCTGAGCTCTAGAGTGCAGATTCTTCACTTTGCATCCCCTGATACTGGAATTTACAGAGCCACCTCTTGATTGAGCTCTAGCCGCTTAGAAGCTGGGAGAGAATTGTGACTAGCTCTGAATTTTTCTTAGGGAGAGACCGCAGGGCATGAAGCTGTAGCCAATTATCGTGCGTTTGGCTTGAGCTCGGGACTTCTCTTAGAACTTTTGAAAAATCTTTTGACAAGTATTTGATGAATTGCTTTCTCTACTTGCCAGATCAAATGAGGTCCTTTCCCCTGAGCTGCTAGATGAAAGGAAAAATGCTTGAGAGCAGCGCAAAGTCTGTGTGAGGATGACAAGGACGATCAGGGCTGCTTGAGGACAAGGAGGGTGAAAACACCTGCCAAAGCAAAGCTTTCTTTTCTTCCTGTTGTTCCATCTTCCTTCAGCCTCCTTCCCCTGCCCCATTCCCATCACAGCCCCCTTTGAGCCCCTACTCCAAGATAACTGGATTTCCTCGCTTCCCTCCTCTTCTCCCCCTTCTTCCCTCTCGTCTCCTCTCCCACCATGCGCACATGGGCTTTTCTTTGGACTCAGTTTGGAGTTCCAGTAGAAACTTCTGGATGGATATCAGTTCTGCTCCTCACTCTGCTACCTATTTGCTGGCTGGATAACCCTGGACGTTTAGAGACACTTGACGTTTTAGAGATTCAGATTTTCCCATCTGAAAAATGGGGCTACTTACCTATCTTAACAGCTTTAATGAAAAAAATTGAATGACATTGTTCTTGTGAAACAGTAGGAAGTCTTCTATACTGCAAACATTCAGTTAATGTGAGCTATTATCATTACTATCACCATTCATTAAAATTTGATTTTGCAAAATTATCTCATCCATGTCCCAGCTATATCAGAGGGACCAGGAAAACCAGCCCAACAAGATACACTTAGTATAACTATGTAACTCAGCCATGACAGCTCTTCAAGGATTTCCTGACCTTGAACCCCCAATTGCTCTCCCTACCAGATCCCTAATGGCTAGAGGGAGAGCCCAAACCCTTTTCTTCTGCTACTTCTCATTCCTAAGCAGAACTTGTTCAGCTAAGAGTTCATAGACATCCTGAGTTGAGATACTATTTTTCAAAATACAATTTGGCTTTGACTCCTGGTGCCTTCCCTGCTCATTTTCATGAATTCAGACTTGTGTAGAACATGTTGTAAGTTTTTCTAGTGAATGCTGGTGGGGTATTTGGGGATGCTAAAAAGAAACCACTAGGCTGTAGTGGTTGGTAGTATGATTTCCTAGTGTGCATGAAGCCCTGTGTTCAGTCCCCAGCACCACATAAAGCAGGCATGGTCACACATGCCTGTAATTCTAGGACTCAGTAGGTGGAAGAAGGAGGATCAGAAATTCAAGGTCGCTAATGGCTTCCATGAAATGCTCTCTGAAGTCACCATCCCCCCACACATATCTGTCATAGAGACTGCTGTTTATATAACATTCTGTGACCTATGAGAGTAAGGTGTTGCTAGACTGACCACTGAGTGATTTAATGCAACTCCTGAGTTGATATAGCAATATAGCATGTAGCATTCAGCTCTCAGATCCACCCGTTTCTGCTCAAACACAGCATGGCTCGCACCCCAATACTGAGGGTATGGAGGAAAAGGCAGTCAGTCAGTGTCTAAATATGGCGCATGCAAGAGACGCACGGGGAAGATGTAGCTGGACCTCTCAGGTAAGAAAACCCATTGATGTACTACTAGACCCCTCCACTAATTGCAGTCTAGGACACTAGCACCTGCCTTAGGAGTGGGGTGGGAGGGTTTACATTTGATAACAATACAGATCAGTGCAAGTCCTATATAAATCTGGGGAAGTTTATTTTGTTGTGGTTTGGTTTTTGATACAGGACCTTGCTATAGAATACAGGCTGGGGGGCTGGAAAGATGGCTCAGTGGTTAAGAGCACCGCCTGCTCTTCCAAAGGTCCTGAGTTCAATTCCCAGCAACCACATGGTGGCTCACAACCATCTGTAATGAGATCTGTGCCCTCTTCTGGCCTGCATGCAGAGTACTGAGAATACTATATACATAATAAATAAATAAATCTTTAAAAAAAAAAGAATACAGGCTGGCCTTGAACTTGGAATCCTCCTGCCTCAGCCTCCTAAGTACTGGAATTAAGGTGTGTATCATAAAACTAGAAAAGTATGGCCTTGAGCGATGGCTCCGCAGTTAAGAGAGCTTGCTGATATTACAGAAGACCTGAATGTGATTCCCAGCAGCCATGTTAGATGGCTCACAATTGCCGGGAGCTCTAACTCCAGGAGATCCAACAATTTCTTCCAGCCTCCTTGGGCACCTTCCCACTCACGCAGATAACCCCACATAGATACACACACGTACATAAAAATAACTTTTAAAAAATAAAATAAAACCTAGAGAAGTTTTGAGTTTACCTTCTCATGCCCATGCTTGGAACGCTATTATTTTTTAATTAATTAACTAATTTATTTATTTTAAAACAATCTTTTCTCATTTTATATACCAATCCCAGTTCTCATTACTTCACCTCCTCTCACTCCTTCCACCTCTCCCCACCCTCATCCACTCCTCAGAGAGGGTAAGGCTTCCTTCCCATGGGGAGTTAACAAAGTCTAGCACATGGCTTGAGGCAGGCCCAAGGCCCTCCCCACTATATCCAGGCTGAGCTAGGTATCCCTCTAAAGAGAACTCTCTTAATCCTCTTCCAAAAGATTCAGGGTGGTGGTGGTGCATGACTTTAATCCCAGCACTTGGGAGGCAGAGGCAGGCGGATCTCTGTGAGTTCGAGGCCAGCCTGGTCTACAGAGCAAGTGCCAGGACAGGCTCCAAAGTTACACAGAGAAACCCTGTCTTGAAAATCAAAAACAAAATTAAAAAAGGTTCAGGCCCTAGAGCTGCTCTGATCAGGCTGGTGGCCAGCTTTTGCCACACCTCCTCCTCTTCAAAGTCATTGCATTAAATAGCAATTGACTCTGGGGCCTAGAGTTTCTCAGTACCCAGGGCCAGATTCTGTGTTTCATTGAAGGTCCTCGCTAGGGAGGTCCCTTTGGTGCATGGAAACTGCTCTTGCCACAAGTTCTCTGATCCTGAGGACAAAAACTATCCATTTGGTCCTCCCTTCAGAAATGTCCTGTGTTCAGAAATACGGAGAGCTTCGCAGCATCCCTCAGGGGGTACCCTTTTCTGGAAACTCACCTGGCACAAGCAGGCTAACAAAGAAGTTTGGGGAGATCTGGTGCCCCTCTGGCCATAGATTCTTCCCTTTCCAGGCTAGCTTGTTATGCTAGAGCTAGAGACGACACTTATACATGAATAAAATGCATACGGACCCTGTTTAGTGTGGGTCCATTAGACAGTGCTCCCCTAAAGTCCTCCCTCATATCCACAGCATGTCTACAATTTAGACAACTCCTTCCCCTAAATTTATTGTCTTCATATTTTCTGGCTTCTTACATTTTAAAACCATTTTTTCCTGTAGAAAATGGTTCTGTAATCTAGGTGTGTGTGTGTGTGTGTGTGTGTGTGTGTGTGTGTGTGTATTCCATCACTTCAGGGAAATTTAATAATGGAGAGGGCATTGATTTTATTGTTTTAGAATCTCTAGCCCCTAGTGACATTTGGTGGGTGCTGGCTTAGAGCTACTAAATGTTCTGCAACACATGCAGCAAAGCCATGCAGCAAATCGTCCCAAATGCTACTGTGGCTGTCAGGGAAGACCACTACAAGGCTTCCATCTCTTCTCACTGGTGTTTATCTGCTCTGGAATTTACGTCATTTCTGTTGAAGAAGTGCCCCTAAAAAAAAATAAAAGAAGTCAGGGATCGCCCATTAGTTCAACCAAAAATTATGCAAAGCAGTCCCTCAAACGGTGGATGGCTCAAGCAATAACGAGCTGGTGAAATGGGACAAGAGAGCCTTTCCTGCAGTATCCTGTTTCTGTTCTGTACAATCCTAGCCTTAGCAGTACAGGCCAGACAACATTCTGGGCCTGAACCCTCTGCTGCTTTCCCACCCTTGCCTAGTTGCTTTAGGAGCAAGGCCGGAAAGCAGGGAGCTGGAAGGGAGGAAAAGGAAAGAATGTGTGGTTTAGCTATGGACGCCCAGGCTTCCATATCTCCCAAAGGAACCTGGAAAGCAGCTCTGGAAACTAATGGCAGTTAGTAAAGCCCACTCTGACTCCAATGGAAAGCAGATGGGGTCCTTTCAAGCCTTCCTGCTCATACCCCAAGCTTCTTGTTTGGGAGTGGGAGTGCGAACTGGAGGAAACAACTGGCTGCCAGCTGTGCAGCCTTGTGTGACTAGGAACTTGGCATGATGGGCCTAGGAAGGCGGCCGCGTAAAGATACGGAGCAGCCTGAGGCACAGCTGGAGAATGTGGAGTGTATTGTGTGGCCAAACTGTTCAGTATTAGAAGCAGCAGACCAGGAAACGGCACCAAAGGGCAGGAGGGAGGAAAGGGAGATGGCTGCAGGCAGTGGAACAGCCCCAAGGGGAAGGTAAATCATCAGCCTTGTCTCGGGCAGGAACCGTGAGACTTGGGTTCCAGGTTTGACTATGAATTGGCTCTCTGACCTTGGGAAGAATCATTTCCTCTATCAGGGCCTCAGTGTCCTCTGCAATAGATGAGAATGAATTCAAATTTGCAAACTGGAGGCTCGGGGCCTGGTTTGGCCAGCAGATATATTATGATTGGCTAGGCCAGCATTTTGTTTCTATAGGGTATGCCAGCTCCTCCATATACCATGGTCCCCTCTGGCCTGCTCCTACTTCTAGACCCTGTGCCACCTTTGTCTCATATGTCCAATATCCAGCAGGCTCCTGAAGGCTCCTGAACCTTAGTGACATGAACTGAGTGATCTCAAAGAGGATCTAGACACTACCAGGCTTCTGTGACTCTACCCACCAGCCACCAGCGTGGCAAAGAGGGCAGGAAGAGGAGACATTGAGATAAAGCGGGACTCTGTCATGAACATGGGCACAGGCAGCGATGGGTAGAATTTTGGTTTTGTTTTTTTGGTTTTGTTTTTTTTTTTTTTTTTTTTTTTTTTTTTTTTTTTTCGAGACAGGGTTTCTCTGTGGCTTTGGAGCCTCTCCTGGAACTAGCTCTGTAGACCAGGCTGGTCTCGAACTCACAGAGATCCGCCTACCTCTGCCTCCTTACTTTAGGAAACATGGGGATGGATTTTCTTAAAGCCAGGCTCCTCTCATCCTTGCAAGGATGCAGCCTGTTGAACACAGGAGGCTTTTCCTTGGCCTCAGTAGCTCTGATCTCCAAACTGATAATACTTTTTCTTCGCAAAGGATGTCAGCCACCTAGTGGTATGGGCCGTGCCTTGGCTGTTGTTCAGCTTTAACTTTTTTTTCTTACTTAGCTTTGATCTTTTAAGTATTACTCTTTGTGGAAAATGAAACCAACTTGTAGCCCTTCCAGAGTGATTAGATAAGCAGTTTGAAGAAAACATTCCTTTCTTGTTTTCTTCCCAAGGACAGAGTTAGCAGGGCGGACTTGCCCAAGCAGAATGCCCCTTCTGTACATCTGGCTAATGCTTGGAACTTCCCTTCCCAGACAGCAGCCTAAACTCAAGGCCTTTACTTTTTAGGTCTCCTGTCGTATCCCTGTAGTATCTATCATCTGTGAGGGAAATATCGATTAGACAACAGTGTAAGAAGCAGGATAGAAGGGATGGGGGGCTTTCATAGGTAAGGTACACATCTGAGACCTAGGCCTATAACCACCCTGCCTGGTCTCTGTTGTTGTACCCTTCCGTGTCCTAGTCCTTGCCTTAAAAGTATTCTGTAACCTTCATTTCTACATAATCAAGGTCACTTCACCTAGATCCTTTAGGACTTCCTGTGGTAGGATTGATGCTGTATCTCACTCTGACATCATCAGATGTCACAAAGCAGGGCTGGCCTGCGTCCTCTTGGGAGCAGAGGGACTGGTCAGAGGCTTAGGTTAGAAAGGACTGTCTTGATTGCAGCGGGCGGTGTTCCAGGTAAGTGACCACAGGACCTCACGCTGTTCATTAAGTAGTAAATATATTTTAGTGTTTCCTGCCAGGGTAGCACAGTCCTTTGATAAGTTAAATCTATCCCTGTCTCATTTGAATACCTTGAGTTAATCGTAGCTCTCTGGGTTCTCTGTCAAACGCGTGTCATCAGGGTTTCAGTTCCGGAGGCATGAATAAACGAAGTATAGGATACTGTATTTAGGGCAGGAAAGAATGTTAGAGGAGACAAAGGAGAGAATAAGTTCCTTTCACTTTAATTATGCTCATTTTTTAAAAAATTTTCCCTCAAAATTCTGCTTGTTGGTCTTGCTTTAACATTGCCTTTCTGCATAAAGGGGAAGAGGTTTGAAGTGCACTAGATAACATCTTTTGGGTTTTCTGACTGTTTTCTCTTTTTTAATAGATTGGGTAAAGAGCCCTGGGCAAGGAATTAGGGAAACTGGTTCTACTTCTGCTTAAACTTATTTTGCTTTTGTGTTTCACCCTTTTTTTCCTCACCGAGGGTGGAAAATAAGACACCGTCCGTGCTAGGCAAGCGCTCTGCCATTCAATGTCACACCCATCCCTCAACTTACTTTTAACATTTTTTAAATCCTCCCCTGGCTTCAGTTTCTTGTTTAAAGTCAGGCTAATGAAGTAAATGAACTGGAAGAGCCATCTAGAAGATTTTATGAAAATAACTTGTCTCATTAGACTACAGCAATCCCAATTTACGAGACATAAGCACCAATTGTGGAATGACACACATTTATATTAATTTCGCAAACTGTGTACACAGAATGCCTGTATTGGAAAGGGAACTCAGATCGTATTACCTCATCTAGTGATTCCCAAGGTGCAGCCACTCATGCCCCAGCCTCATAATTTCTGTCATACTCGTGTATCCCCAGAACTATTTTTCAGTTAATCCTTTCTATATTGACTGAGACTTTTTAAATCCAAAGACCTTAGTGTCACCTATGCAACAATGTCCATGAAGTTACATATTTGCTATGCTCCATGTGCTTCTCTTGTGTATATTAACATTAGTAGGTTTTCATGTGGACATCACTGGAAATCACTGTCCTACTTGGTTCTAGCTCCTTGTGCACATTTGGAAACTAAAGGTTAGAGAGATTAGCTTTCTTGGCCTCTTATCACTCAGCAAGTTGCTATGGAGACATAATTAGGGAATACCTCATGTGACTACATCACATCAGAGGCAGAGCCGTGGGGAAAGCCTAGATCTTATGACACTTAGTTCAGACTTCTCTCAACCATGTCACTCTTATCCCATGGTTGCCATTAATACCTAAGAGCCACGCAATTTAATGTAAATGTAAGTAGAATTCAGATCTTTCTTTAATCAATTATTTTATTGTAAAATTTATTTTTAATAATGTTGCTAAATACTAGTATTTTTATTATTTTTAAATTTTGTATATGTGTACTGTATTAAATTATTTCTTTCCTCCCTTTCCTGTCTTCCTCTCCCTTTCCTGTCTTCCTCTCCCTTATCTTCCCTTCCCCTGTGGTCCCTCTCAAATTCATGTGTTTTTCTTTAATTATTATTACATATATAAGAGTAAATATATAAATACAACCCATTGGGTCCATATAGCGTTGTCCATATGTATATATTTTTAGAGCTGGCCACTTGGTACTGAATAACCAATTAGGAGGCTCATCCCTGGGAAATACTGATTCTCCCTCTTTCTGCAGTCACTAACTCCTTGTAGCTTTTCTTTATACAATATGTTTTGAGCATATTTGCCCCCTGTACACTCTTCCCAGACCCACCCGCTTCCCTACCCACCCGATTTTGTGTCCTCTCTTTTGCTACCCATCAAATCCAATCTGCACTGCCTATATATTCTTGCATGGGTGGCCTTCCATTGGAGGGCAATTGACTTATCAGGGACAACACTCTTAAAACTGGCTCTTTCTCTCTCAGCAGCTATCAGTTGCCAATTGTTCCTCAGTTAGGAGTGGACTTCATGCCCACCTTTCCCAAACTCCATGGAGGATTTGGTCTTGCTTGAGCATTCATGAGAGTGTTTGTAAAGACAGTCTTGCTATTTAGCTTAGGTGGTCCCCAAGAGACTGAGACTGCAGGTTTATGTCCCTGCTTGGCTCAAGTTCAGTACATTGTAAAGATAACAACAGCAGCAACAAGTGAATCCTGGGCCTTCAGATGTGTCACCCGAAGTTCTTAGCTCTGCTATTTGACACGGAGAGAAAGATGGCAGGTAACAGGGACCAAGCACACTGTAGGCCTTTTGCTGGTTTACCTGGTTTTATCCTACCACGGCTACTATGAGAGAATGAGAGCAATTGATTTCTCACAGAATAGTCTGCCCTGAAGTATTTTACTTCTAACAAACAGAATGTATCCAAGTGCACAATCTGAGAGATACGTATGCGTGAAAGAAACATGAACATTTGAGCTTTTAGGGAGAACAGTCTCAGTGGGCAAGGTAAACTCAAATCAGAAGTTCATAAAGTGGAAATACCTCTTGAGATCTATCTTATGTACCGGTGAGTTTCTACCAGGTAGACTAAGCAGGTGAATGCTTGTTTTCCTAGCCAAAGGTTAGAAGTTAAATCCTCTGAACTCCAATTGTCTCTTTTTCTGTAAAATAAGCTTCCTAGTCTCTGATCTAGTGACATCACAGAGCTAGAGGCAAATGAGGTAATGACATATACAATCAAAAAGTTAAATGCCCCACCGAACTGAGAAATCTTGGCTACAGGGACCATAGATAGAAGGGACTTTCTGGAAATTTCTCCTCATTCTGGATTGTAGTAAGGAGCAGCAGGCTATGTTCCCGCCTGGATCCCATATGGCTAGCTTAGCCCGGAAATAATAACACACAAATTGTATTCTTTTAAATACTTCCTGGCCCATAAGCTCTAGCCTCTTACTGGCTCTCACATCTTGCTTAACCCATTTCTATTAATGTGTGTAGCATCACAAGGTCGTGGCTTACTGGGAAGGATTCTAGCCTGCTTCCATCTCGGAGAGGAGAGCTATGGCGACTGACCTCATTGCCTTCTTCCCAGCATCCTGTTCTGTTTATTCCGCCTACCTAATTTTCTGTCCTATTAAAGGGCCAAGGCAGTTTTTTTATTTAACCAATGAAATCAACACAAAACAAAAGACTCTCCCATATCACTGGATACTCTCAGGTTCTCAGTTTTACTATTTTTCTACACTAGATTTACTACTATGAAGGCGGACAAGCTTCGGCTATTGGGCAATTCAAGGATCGAATTATAGGGTCAACAAATCCAGAGAACGCATCGATCACTATATTGCAGATGCAACCAGCGGACAGTGGAGTTTACATCTGTGATGTCAACAAACCTCCAGATTTTGTCGGCAAAAACCAAGGCATTCTTGCTGTCACTGTGTTAGGTATGGGCATTCTTTTCATGTCTTTTGTTTTCTTGAAGCAACTAAAGACAGTGAATTAGTCAAAGCACTGGGTTATGGTGTCAGTTATGTGTCTGGGGCTAAATATTCTCCCTGCTCCTTTCACTGCCAGAGACCATTTTATTAATTTAAGATTTATCTTATCAGTAGAGAGTTTTCCAACTTAATCTGTATAGTGATACCTAAAAATTAGCATAAAATGTACAGAAACAATAGGATCCCTAGCTTGAAAGGATACAGGGAAACAAACTTTGTCCCACCAAATGATCACCAATGAGCTCTTCAAGGAGGAACTTGTAATTAAAGCCACACTTAATTACAAGAAACAATTGTCAACCTACTTATTCCCTTTTTCAAGCCAACCACTGTTCTTACCAAGAACTGATTCTTTCAAAGGCAGAAACATCCACTTCGTTTATATTTATTTTTTATTATATTTTGTTTTGTCTTGAGGCAGAATCTCATGAAACCATAGCTAGCTCTAGCTAGCCTTGAGCTTGCTATGTAACTATTTAATTTGATTTTTGATCTGTGGAGGGGGGGCTCACTTTTTAAAAATGCTAATGATATTTGGAAAATGTTACTTGTTAAGGCATTATTAAGAATTAAGTTATGATAAACACGTATTTATTATATGATATTGGACAAATCACATTTACTCTCAAACTAGACTTGGAAGAGCTTATTTATTCAGGATTTATGGTTTCCCTACTTTGTAAAAGGAAATAAAGGCTTGGTGGTGATGGAGACATGGCTTCTGCCCATGAGGAATACTCAGTTTGTTTGCTTTCTGGGGATCATTCAAACTCAAGAGAACACAGCAGGGGCTGAGTACCTATTTACAGACTCTAAAGTAGAAAGTATTAAAGGGAGGGGAACGGGCTTGAAGCCCTTACCAGTAGCCCGAATGGAGCTGGCCTAGTCATTGCTCCCGTCCGCTTGAGTATATGAATCACTGGAAAGGAAGCAGTAGGCCAAGTCAGCTACTAGATAGTTGGTTTAAAGAAGCAACAAATGACAGCAAGATACACATCTACAAGAACTATCCACAGTTGTCTTGCTACCTATGTGATTTTAAAAGGCACCAATTGATGCTTACTGTGAGGTCTGCCATCGTATTTACCCTCCTAAGTAAGAGGGAAATGTTACATCAGAGCTAATATTTAAGAGAGGGTTTTCTCAAATCAGTTGTATTTTATTGTGCTGAGCCTTGTGCTTGGCTTTGGAGCGTAGGAATAGATGAACCCATTGCTAGGACAATTTGTGTGACAGTTCATAAGATCAGTCATATGGGGGAAAACTGTGGTAAGAATGCCAAGAACCACGAGACGGAAAATCAGTAAACTTAGGTTCTAGACCTTTTTCTGTTCCTGGTGACCTCATACAATGCAGTCCACTACTCTCTGGCCAATGTAAGATAGATTTTAAGTCTGTCTTCTTTACTGATTTATTATGAGAATCCAATTAGGTGCTGGGGATTAAAGAGCCTTTTAATGTTCAAGTAATTTGAGGGATTAATCGTCTAATGATTTTCTGTTGCCTCTGTGTCTCTGGGGTGATCTGAGCAGAAGCAATTTTCAAGAAAAGGCTTGGAAATAGCCCTGAGATAAGCTAGACAAGAAGGTTAATATTCTTAAATTTGAAGTTCAGAGGATTCCCAGTGAATTTCCACAAGTCAAAGATATCTGAAGCTAGTTTTTTTTTTCTTCCCTTTGAGTCTTTGGGTCAGATAAGTCTTGTCATGAGTTTGTCATGATTTTTCTTGAAGCAGTCAGAAACCATAAAATAAAGATACTAAACAATCTATGGAATTTCCTTCCACAGACATACTCAAAAATTCCATTTTCATTAATTCAGAAAAGAACAAGGTTTTCCTATGAGTTTCAACTTTCCAGAAATTAGTGATAGTAAATTGTCTCTAAATTTTCAAAGTCTGTTCACAATTCTCAAGTCCCATTGCACATGAACACCCTGACTGGGCCTGGGACAAGTAGAGATGGGTGGGTCGGAGGGGGCAGTTGTACGGAGAGTTAACTAATACACCGCCGATGATGGTTCTTCATAGCACTACATTAAAAGAATCTGTTTATTGTAATGAACTCACAAATAAAAATGTCCCACAGGTAGATTATGGTAACCATTCAAACACTTACCCAGGCCCAAGCTCAATGCAACCCAATGATCTTATGAAAAGTTAGAATGGCCATGCTGAAGTCATGGAGCTTTGCTCTTAGGCCTTTCCCCTTTCAATGTCAGTTACACATTATAAAAACGAAAAATCTATGAGTCAGTTGAAACTAGAAAACCAATTAGCTTTATATTCTCTTTTATGATTCATGTGTCCTTTTGCCTGCATTCCATCTCTTCTCATCACCTAATAGTACCCTTTCTTGGTCTCCTTTCTAAATGCTATGCTACACCAATGTGTATATTACGCAAAATGTTATACTCTACCCATGATGTATATATGTTTATAGGTAAACAGCTATGAACGTGGGTATAGTATAGCCATGTATCCTTGAGACATTTCTCACCGAGCATGGATATCAATCAATCCCGTGTATTTGCTTTACATTCATGCACTCCTTCATCAGAGCCCGGGAACATGCCTCAGTTACTGTTCTAAGCAATGGAAATAGTAAGATGTAAAAAATAGGGTCCCAGCCCTCCAAAAATCCAATCTGGTGAAAGAGACAGATTGCACGAACACTTACACTGGGAGGAGAGCTGTGAAGGCACAGAGAAAGCTACAGAAGGGGAACCAGAGAAGGCTTATCAGGGAAAGAGACTTGTGCTGGCCGAGGAAGGATGCCTAAGAACATGTCAGAGCAGAGGCTGAAGTGGCAGGGTACATACAGTTCAGGTGAAGAAAGCCGGGAGCCGAGAAGCAGGTGGTTTGGATGGCCATTCATTTAAGAGACCTCCATTAGTCATGACAACCCTCTAAAATCAATCTCTGAAAAACACCCACATCGACTCTGAATAATTATTATGTGTACATTTGGAATGAGCACCATCTCCATTCTGCAGTTTGGCGCATAAAAATTATTAATTTAGAGGAGCTTTGTGAACACACTGAAGCATTTTCATCTGTCTTCTCGGATGAGCCTTTTCCTTCCACCCAAATCCTGATGAAAGCAATAAAGCCAAAGGGTAGATCAATGGCTTTGCCAGTAAAACATAGTAGCTCTTTGGGGGTACTTTAGCTCGATGAAATGTCAAGCTCAATTCAGATTCAGTAGTTTTAGAAGATATATAGATTTGCAGCTTGTCTCAAAATGAATCAGCTAGTGTTATGTTAATAATAAAAAAAGAGAGATAGAAGGAGAAAAAGAACAACAAGAAGCCTAATCTAGATTTGAATCTAGCCTCAGTGAATGAGTGCTAGTTATTCTAGTTTGCTATGTATAATTTAGTCCTGGTGCCTGACTTTTAATGTTGAAATGCCCACATTTTTCTGTTCAGATTGTTCTGTTCTTATATAGGGGCTATAGCAGTCAGATCATTTTGTAAAGACACTAAGCCTAATCTTAGTTGAATGGTATAGTTAAATGGCCTAGTTTAAGGTAGGTGAATCAAGTTTTTCCCATCTCAGAAAGCCATCGATAGGGAGAGTATTGAAATCTAAATAGAAAAATTCTCTAACTCAAAAGACACCAGTTTTCAAAGGATAGTGGAGCATTTTAAAGGGTTGTGCTTATACCTGTCTTCTTCTGCATACAAGGGTTTGAGTCTGAGATGGCTTATCAGAGCAGAAGCTGGTAGAAGATTGATTTCGGCATCAAAAATTAGTCCAGTCCATAGCCAACAGCAATTCCATGTGCAATGCTTTGTTTATAATATTTACTTTTGGCTGGCCAGAGGTTAGATCATTTCTTATTCATATTTTATAGATGAGACAACTCGAGGCTTAGTTCAATTACATAACTTGTCCAAATACCTATAAGGTAAAGTTGCATAGCTCTGGTTCTGTGTGGATCCAGATCTGTGATCACATGTCCCAGGAGAATCAATGGGTAGTCTGAAACATTTAAGTTATAAATTTCATAAATTAGATGCTAGAGGGATGGATTAAGATAAGGAAGAAGAGCTGGGTACAGTATCATATGCCTGTAATTCTAGTACTTGGAAGGTAGAGGCCAGATTCAAGTTCAAACCCAGCAACCAACCAACTAACCAGAGGAACAGAAAACCAAAGGATGGCTGTTCATTGGAAAGTACATCCAAAACTTACAGTCATCACCCGTGTGTGTTATTAGGGACGGACTACCTGGCATAAAGTGAGATTGTGATTCACAGTTACCCAGAGAGTGTCTCCTTGATCCAGGTCTCTGTCCAGGTGTTGTCATAAGCAGCTGAAAAACGGCATGTCCAAAACTGCCCCCAGCATCTCTCCTTCCTCCTCATCCCATCCTCTAAAGCTTGTTCTTCTACCTGAATTCTTTCTCTTGGATGGTGGCAGGATCATGGATACAGAATCCGAAGCCTGGGAATCAGCATAGATCCTTACTTTCCTCGGTAGCTAGCTGGTCACTAGCTCCTGTGACTATTTTCTTAATACCTCTTGAATCACCTTTCCCTTGGTCCAGGAACCCTCAGTATCAGAGAGAGCTATATGGGAAGTACTAGAAAGAACATCATTACTACCTTTCTCAAACTCCTTCCGTGGTCTCCCTGTTCCCCGTGCAAAACATGTAATACAGCGCCCTCCCTACCGCGAGCCCCAGTGTTCTGTTATTTCATCTCTCACCACCGTTAGCTCCACTTTGGCAGCGCCTAGTCCAGTACTGGATAGACAGACGGCACCTAGCTAAATGCTTGCCAAGTGGCAGAAAAATCGAGACTGTAACATCATATAGCACCAATGCAAAGTGGGCTCCTCTGCTGAGGAGGCCTCGGGCAAATTCAAGCCTTCCAGAGAGTTTGGGTCACCTATAGATGAATAAATGAAGAACTGCCTTAGCCTCACAAAGGAATAGAAAAAAAGGAAGTATTAGTGGGCTATTTTAAAAGGAATTTCTAGAAAGGTTTTATCTCCAAGTATTTAAGGGCTCTGTTTTCATTTAAGATGGCTTTTAAAGCACAAGCTATGTTTCTACTCAGAGTTCGGTTACATTTGGCTGTTTTAATAAAGGCATATTTTATGCATGGTTATAAATCAGGGGACGAGGCAGACAGAAGAGACACTATTTGAATCTTAATGGCCTCCTGACTAGATGGTCGCCGTAGCTGAAGTGCTCTGCTCCCATCTGGTGGTACAAGCAGAAAACTGCCCAGAGCCAGGTTTCTAAGAATAGACTACATAAGCAAATGCCCGTATAATCTGTACAGTGAAAGCGAGAAAGTGGCTGCCAATGTCACAGAACTGTCCGTTTCTTACAGGAAGCTCACTTGTTTTTGTCTTTGCCTCACAGTCAAACCTTCCAAGCCCTTTTGTACCATCCAAGGAAGACCAGAAGCAGGCCACCCAATCTCCTTGTCTTGCCTTTCTGCCGTTGGAACACCGTCCCCTGCATATTACTGGTATAAGATTGAGGGAAACACCATTGTGCCAGTAAAAGAAAGCTTCGGTGAGTATCGCCTTTCCTAACTTCCGCTGGATGTGCTCCTCGATGCTTGCCTGAGGTCCTCAAATGTTTCTTCCCTTGATGTCAGTGTGTGCATGTGTGTGTCTGGAGCAGACATGTGCTTACCATGATACCTGCCTGCTAACATGAGGATTGTGGTGTGTCTGTTTCTCGGAGTCTAGAATTCGGCTGAGAGGTGGTGAATGCGGAGGGCCTTTGCTGGGCTGCTTGTAGAGCATTGCGAGAGACCTAGGTGGAGCCTATTCATCTCAAGAGAGGCCGCTGTGAGAAAGTGGGCGGGCATTAAACAGCGTACACTAACATGACAAGAGATCTTAAAAATTCTGTGTTCTTGTTTTGACAGACTCAGCCACTGGAGTTTTGGTTATCGGAAATCTGACAAATTTTAAGCAAGGTTATTATCAGTGCACTGCCATCAACAGTCTCGGCAATAGTTCCTGTGAAATTGACTTAACCTCTTCACGTGAGTTGGCTCTATGGCTTTCATACTTTATCCTTCAGTTAAGTAGTCTGGGCCTGCCCATCGAACAGATTAATTAGGGCCTCTCCTTAGTCCTTCTTGCCTCTCTGGAGATGTCTGTGCTTTATTGGTAAGTTGATAATGGATGGCCATCCAGGTCTCTCATTTCTACATAGTAATATGTTCCCTAAATTCTTCACTGGGTAGTTTATTTAAGCATCATTAAAAAGTAGGTATTACTCTTGGACAAATAAAAAACAGCAGTGTCATTAGCAGTCTTTTGCAGTGGATAATTCCAGCTAGTCCCTTAGCTATCCTTTTCAAATATATGCCTCACAGACTTCCTACTTCTTGACTGCCTTATTAAGATTGGACTCTAGAATACAGGGAAACCCTCCAAGATAAGGCACAGACAGGAGTTTCTGAGCAGGTTTTTGGTAGATCAGAAAAATAATAGCGAGAACTGATAAATAAGCTTGTTCTTGCGTGAAATTTAAAAGCTTTTGCACAGCAAAGGAAACAAGAGACTGAATCTTCATTCAGTCTAGGCAGCCTAGAGAACGGAAGGAAATCCTCTACCGCCATTTAGCCAACAGAGGGTTGACACTTGGAATAGATGAGGAGCAAAAGAATTAAACACAAGTAGTCCAGTCAATAAATAAGCAGATGTTTTGTAAGACAGGTCTCAGAAGAATTACAGATAGACAACAAATATATGAAAAAAATTCTCAGTGTTTTTCACCATCATGGAAATGCTATCAGAGTTATGGTGAGCTTCTATTTCCCCCCAGTCTTATGACTATCATCAAGAGCTCAAACAACAAACGTGGACAAGGATATGCAGGAAAAGGAACCCTTACATGCTGATGGTGGGAATGTGAATTAAAGCAACCACAATGGAAATCAGTCTGAAGCTTCCTCAAAAATCTAAAAATAGAATTACCAGCTGTACCACTTCTGGGTCTATAACTAAAAGAATTCAAGTCAGCATGCCACAGAGAAAGCTGGATAAGCTTGTTTATTTCCATGCTACAACACCCATGTTACAGGCTCACAGATTGTCATCACCTGATGGACACCCCAGTTCACTAGCATTATATGGTTTGCAGGAAAATGGAAATGAAAATTACCATAGTGAGTGAAGTAAGCCAGATGCAGAAAGAGAAATATCAGTTTTCTTTCATAGGCAGGATCTAGATTTTTAAGAAGACATGGAAGTAGAAGGGAGCTGTTAGGGATGACAAAGGGGGACCAGTGGTAGGGGAGTGGAAGTAAAATGAGATACAGTAACAGGGACGTAGACATGATCTAAGTTACATGTATACATCCAGGAAAACATATTTATACCCATAATGCAGTATCTACATTCTAATAAGAAATAAAACCCAAAAGTTTAAAGGCAAAAATCTGCCTATAGTAACCAGACAGCCCTATCTGCAATCACAATACCTGATGAGTACTATTGTTACTATTTGTATTAAATTGTTTCCCATACTATACTTGCTACATGAGCAACACCGCAGTCTTCCAGTTGAAAGGCACTTACTTGCTCTCTGAGATTCATAGTTAAAGAGCCTTGAAACAGATAGACTAGGTCAATCCTGGGACAAGCCCTCACGAGAGATGTCTCCCAAACCTCTTAGGGCTCACTTGAGCACTTAGAGCCTTGCCATCTGCCCCGCACTTAGAGCCTTGCCATCTGCCCCCCACTCTCATTACTTTCAGCTCTCTCCTCTGGCCTTTCTCCTGAGACCTGTCTGTACAGGCATGGTTCTCTGTTGTCTTTCTTTACTCCTCACTCAATTGTTGCCTACCCTTCTAGAGATAGACACACATGGCGGATGTCCAGTCGTGTAAGACTAGTACCCGAGTCTTCTTTCCAATGATCTCCAGCACTCTCCTGGCTTTCCTTTTTCCCTCTCCTCTCCCTTCTTGCTTCCTTTCCTTTCTTTGCCCTCCTGTCCTTATCTTCTTCCTACGTCACCTATTGGCTATCTACTATGGATCATCATAGGTGATGCAGAGACCGACGTTAAGAAGAAAGGTCTTTCACTCAAGGAGCTCTCCATTCAGCTAGAGGGCTAAGCAAAGACTGTATGTGCTAAACGCTATCGTATAGGTCCATACAGGGATAGACACCAAAAGAGGACCACTTATGGTTACAGCTCTGGAGCAGCTGCGCTGACCAAGTACTATTTGAGCTGGTATCTGAAGGTACCAGCAAAGGCTATTGTTTCTATAAAATTGGTAGGCTGGGTGGAGAACAAAAGCAGAGCAGCAGCTGTAGAAAGATGATTAGTTAATGGCGAAGGAACACGAGGAAGAGCCACAGAAAAGATCACTGGGAGATGGAACCATAATAAAGAGACAGCCATTGTGTTCGAGTCTATTGAAAGGAAGTGATTATTTCCTCCCGATTTCAAAACTAGTGAGAATGTATTAAAACACTAAGCAAAGCCCCCAAATGAGGCAGTTAGTGACCTTAGGGAAAGCATTTTAAAATGCTGAACAACACAGAATCAGAGGATGGATGTTTCTGAGCTGTGAACAATATTTAATTTTTATAAACATAAAGTTTTATTAAAATAGTATTATAATTGTATTAGGAGATTGTGGTGGGAGATGAGGAGTGCTTTGAAATTCAGGGGGATAATGAACATTGGAAAATGGGAGGCCATCTGAGAGCAAGTGTAATACAAGTCTGTAGGCAAGAGCAGTTTTGTAATACAAGTGTAATACAAGTCTGTAGGCAAGAGCAGTTTTGGATCGTCCCACCAGTGGCTGGGGTGGGTCAAGAGAACGCTGCTTTGTTAAAAGTTTAGAACTGTTTAATTGTTAATGTTATTTACTTTAACAATTAAGATATTATTTTTGTTTAGTTTAATTTTTTAAATTTTAATTTGTTTTTTAAAATTTTATTTTACATTCCATCCACAGTTCTTCCCCCTACCCCTCTTCCCGCCCCCACCTCCCCCTCCCCAGCTGACCCTCCATCCATTCCTCCCCACAGTTAAGGGCTCCCATGGTGAGTCAACAAAGTCTGGCACATTAAGTTGGGGCAGGACCAAGCCTCTCCCTCCTGCATTAGGGTTGAGCATGGCATCCCACCATAGGGAATGGACTCCAATAAGCTGGCTCATGCACCAGGGATAGATCCTGGACCTACTGCCAGGTGCCCCTCAGATAGTCCAAGCTTCACCACTGCCTCCCACATATGGAGGGCCTAGTTCAGTCTCATGGAGGTTCCACAGCTGTCAGTCTAGAGTTCATGAGTTTCCACGAGCTTGCCTCCGCTGCCTCTGTAGATTTCCCGCTCAGGATCTTGACCTCCCTTGCTCTCTTCTCTCTCTTCGACTGGATTCCTGGAGCTTGTCCTGGGGCTTCGTTTTGGCTCTCTGCATCTGGTTCTGTCAGTTGCTGGATGGTGGCTCCATGATGATAGTTTCATACATTTATATAATGACTTTTAGTCATTTTCAGTCCCCCATCCCCCTCACTTGCCTCTCTCACACTAGCTCCCATTTTCTCAACAAGTCCCCTCCGCCTTTCATGTCTTCTTTTTCGTAGCCTACTGAATTTAATTAGAGTTTTTTGCCTAAAGCATTGGTGGGAGAATATTTACTGGAGCGAGGCCAGTTTATCAGTGGATATACCACTGAAGAAAATGGCATTCCCTCCTTCACTCACTCACGATGAAATGTTCAAGGGCTCCGTCCTGTGCAGACAGCCACAGCCTTTGTGATTTCGTGAGTGCAGCAGGTGCATCACACCCAGATGTCTTTCTGCTGCCCATCCTCCGGCTTACACTCTTTCCATCCCCTCTTCTGCAGGGCTCCCCCAGTCTTGCTGATATAGCTGAGCTGTCCCATTGAGGGTTTTGTGAGACAAGGTCTTGCCATGTATATGGCCCAGGCTGTCTGGAAACTCAGGATTTTTCTGCCTCGGCCTTTTGTGCCCAGCTACATGGATTTCTTCCATCATAAGAAGATGAGGGACTTATTATGCAAACTTAGTTTTTCATTTCAAAATATAAACAGTTGATCCTTGTTTAAGGGGAAATAGATGGGTATGGGCTGGCTTATGATCCAGACATGTTCTGTCAGGGACGACATGTCTGGACTTGGAGGCCTGGTGCTCAGCTGGAATGTCTCGCACTCATTCAATTTTTCCATAGACTGATGTAACAAACCAGATGCCTGTTTATCCAAATGGCCATGTCCTTTTGCTCATAGAGTTCATGAGCAGGGAGTGTATGGGGAAGCTTTTTATTTTATTTCACTTAGGCCTTAGGAAAGCTGATGAAATGTCCTTGTCTCCAACAGAGCATGTTTCTGGTTACCAGATTGCCATGACATGTCTCTGACCACATAAAGACACACTGAAAACTCTATTCCCTAAATATGGATTTAAAAACAAGCTTGCCTGCCAAGTGGCCACAGTTTTCTTCATTGGTGCGCATGTTAAGCTCCACAGTCAAGGACCTCTACTAGCAGAATTCTGGGAATTTCTGTTCCTTCCACCTGTACCTGTCACTTTCTTGCACTGTGAGCCTTCCAGATCATTTTTCATCAGTCTCAAATGCATATATATAAGAGGAAAACGTGTTTGGTTTTACCAACTGCCTGTCTGTGTCCTTCAGATCCAGAAGTCGGGATCATCATTGGGGCCTTGATTGGCGCCCTGATAGGCGCTGCTGTCATCATCTGTGTGGTGTACTTTGCACGGAACAAAGTTAAGTCAAAGCAAAGGAAGAGGAACTTAAACCTGAGCACGGAACTTGAGTAAGCCCTTATGTCAACTAATTTAATCATCACAAAAGTCCTTTTAGGTCAGAGAAAAAACATTTTTAAGATATATTAACATATTTATCTTTACACCAACACAGCTATAAACATAATTGTGACTATTTTAATGTAACAGAAGACTTCCGAAGGCAAAAGTGCATAGGGTCCAGGAAAATCAGAATTTGGTTGGCCCAACGCCTGTGCTTTTAGCTACACTGCAATTTTTTTCTGCAGTGTAGGACAATGTTTATCCACCTGCTCACCTTTCCCTCTTTTTTTAATTTTTTTTTATATTTTTGAGACTATAATTACAGCATTTTCTCCTTCCCTTCCTTCCCTCCAAATCCTCCCATATACTCCTCCCTGCTCTCTTTCAAATTCATTGCCTTTTTTCATTATCATTGTGTGTATACAAGTATATATATATATATATATATGCCTAAAGACAACCTGCTCAGTTTGGATAAAGTTACCTGTATGCATGTTTTCATGACTGGCCATTTGCTATTGGATAAGCAATTGGTGTGTCCTTCCCTGGATTTACTTTCATTGATTTAACTTAATTGATTTAATTAATTTAACCTAATTGATTCCACAATTAGGAACCCTAAGTCTTAAACTAACAAGTTGTAGACACAGATGCAACTGAACCATGGATTTGACCCTCAAACGCCTTATTACCCTCTCAGAGTCTCTCAGTTGTCCACCTTTTAAATGCTAGTGTGTCTTTCTTGGACTTTCATATTGTTGAAATCTAATCTTTCTGAACTCCAAAATGGACATATGTGGTCTGACAGCAAGTCAAAACATCAGGACAAACAGATGGCCTAAACTAGTGGGTAGCGACCCCTTTGAGGTTAGGATTCATGGCAGTAGCAAAATTATAGTTATGAAGTAGCAACGAAAATAATTTTATGGTTGGGGGGCAGGGTGTAACCACAACACAAGGTCACAGGGTCACAGTATTAGGAAGGTTGAAAACCACTGGTCTAGGACCTATTTGTCACTAAGGCTATAGTGTATGACTTCATGTGAAATATTCAAGTTCAAAGTTCCCTAAGGTTTTTCTGGGGATTTTTTTTTCTTACAGGCCAATGACAAAGGCAAGCCATTCCCAAGACAATGAAGTCATTCCATCTGAAGAGATCCAGCTAGAAGCAACTTATCCATCTTCCATCCATGGCGCCCAATCCACTGAACCTCCTACTGCCATCTCAGGACCAGAATACGAGCCTGACCCCCAGCTTGAAACCACCACACAGCCTGACCCTGAACCAGAGCCTATTCCAGTGCCCGAGATGGAGATTCAGTTGGAACCAGAGCTGGAGCCAGAGACAGAGCCTGAGTCTGAGCCTGAGCCTGAGCCTGAGCCTCAGCCTGGAATTATAGTTGAGCCCCTGCGCGAGGAGGGGAAGGATTCAGTTAAGGCATAGGTGTAGAGACGCTCGGCATTAAGTACGGCAGTTCTCACGAACCCATTCCTGGCCTTTAATGTTTGGTGGACTTAACCAGTCCCCAGTTTGTCCTTCCATCTAACAACATGCTCATACTCACCATTAATTCAAAATAAATAAACCAAGGCAACTACTAAAGAAATGCAAAGGTTTCTTTGTTTTTAGTATAGATTACTTAAAACTGTACTAATACATAAACATAACAAATGACCAGGCCAAGATGAGTGGCTCATTTCTAATTTAGTTGGCAATGTATTCACAAACATATTTTCTGTATTTGTGGTCACTCTGTTTCATGGGTCACATGTACACATGATAAGGTAGAGTTAATATGATTCAATATTCATTTTAGGATAAGCTTTCTTCCCAAATGATTTTTTATATTTACCACTAAGAAAACAATTTGATACCATTGGCTCACAAATTAGAGAAAAAAAAAAGCATTTCCCCAAAATAAGAGAGTTTGTGTCAAGTAGTACATACAATTTAAAACAAAGTCTTACAATTTATCATATTAAATCTTTAATAAGTCATCTCAGTGTCCAACACTTGAGCATAGCAATTTTTATAACTTTTTTTTCACTGCAAAAAGGTATACAGTCAAACAACTTAAACTCTTTCTTGGTGAACATAAAGTGTTGGTCTTGTAGGCAGTTTAGAACATACCTTTGAAAAAGCTATTATGTTATCATCACTCACTGTCTGCTGCTATCTGTTTGGGCGGTAGGCTAGGATGGTGTTCTCAGTAAGCACGGTCTATTTTAGATTGTCTAAACTGACAGTTGAAATCATCTGTTTTACTGTTTCTATAGTACACGTTAATAGAAACATCACTCTTATGTCAATGATGAACCCCTTCACTTAAAAGCTTTTTCACTGACACCCCTCTCTGAAGAAATTTGCAAGTAGATTTCCCTTTTTTTTACTTGTGTAATCAATCCTATATGAAATATTATTTTAAGGCCATAATAATGCTCAATAAAATCTCATTTAGTGACTACTAAGATTAATCTTTTTAATAACTATTATCACATAATTTATAAGCTGTATACATTTTGACTGTACACACATAAAACACCATATCTATGTAGAAGTAGAATATTTCCACCAGCCCACAATGTTTTCTTGTGTCCCCTTTTATAATTCCATTGGGCCCTGTTTTCCATTTCTAAAAGTTACCTTTTCTTTTCCCTGATCTTTATATGAATTATAGTTTGAACTTTCATATCTGACTTTCTTCTCAGCTAAATACTTTCCAGCAGATCTGTGTCACATCTAGGATTTAAAACTCTTCTCTATGTAGATCATGCCCACTTATCAATTGAGGTAGACTCTACAGACATTTTACAGTCAAGAGAACTAATATTTATTAGTTGTGCCAGGTGTGTATTTTCTTTGATGTGTCGTTGATAGATAGTGCCTGATGGGCATAGGAAGAAAACTCCTGAAGGTCCTGAGAATGACCGAAATTTTAGATATTGTAAACTAAATACCAAAATTACAAAAATGGCTAAGTAGTTGAAACTTATTTTTCTTGCCCATTGAAGTCAATCACTACTGGCCCAAATTTCTGGTGGGTTGACTAGGTAGATTGTCACTATTGGTGGTTTTAAATAGTCTCGTACTATTTAAAATAGTTGATTAATGATATTTATTCCCCATTTTTAAGATCACAGATCACGTTGTGAGTCTAGAAAGACTATGGATTTGAAAATGCTTATGCACACGTCACATACAGATTTATGTTTTTAATATAGTATTTTTATTACTTGGGGATTTCATAGAATATTTTGATAATATTAACTCCCTTTTCTTCCCCCAAATGCTTCCTCATCTCCACTCTCCTCCTAACTTATTGTCTCTTTAAAAAATAAGCCATGTCAGGAGAAGAGGGACACAGAGATGATTGACAGGGGGCGGAACATAGAGATGATTGACAGGGGGCGGGAATTCGAGGATGGTTGACAGGGGGTGGGACATAGGGATGATTGACAGGGGGCGGGAAACCGAGGATGATTGACAGGGGGCGGGAATAAGAGGATGATTGACGGGGCGGGACATGAAGATGACTGACAAGGGGGTGGAAAAACGAGGATGATTGGCAGGGGGCGGGACATAGAGATGATTGACAGGAGGCGGGACATGAAGATGATTGACAGGGGGCGGGACATAGGGATGATTGACAGGGGCGGGCCATGAGGATGATTGACAGGGGGCGGGAATATAAGGATGATTGACAGGGGGCGGGACATAGGGATGATTGGCAATGGGCAGGACTATAGTGATGATTGACAGGGGGTGGGACATAGAGATGATTGACAGGGGGCGGGAAAAAGGATGATTGATAGGGGGCAGGACATAGGGATGATTGACAGGGGCGGGACATAGAGATGATTGATAGGGGGGCAGGAACAGGGAGATGATTGACATAGAGATGATTGACTGGCCCAATGATGTCACCTGTAAATGGCCACAAATGGCTCTGGCGTGGATCTGCCCCTCCCTGTGTGTGAGGCAGATTGAGGTGGGCGAGGCCTGTGTCCCAGGGAATGATGGGAGAACTCAGCACTGGGTTCAGCACTACAGAGCCAGGTGGATCTCTGTGAGTTTGAGCTAGTTCCAGGGAAGCCAGGGCTGTTATATAAATAAACCCTGTCTCAAAAAAAAAGAAAGAAAGGATGGGTGGATGGATGTGTGTGTGTGAGAGAGAGAGAGACAGACAGACACACACACACACACAGAGAGAGAGAGAGAGAGAGAGAGAGAGAGAGAGAGAGAGAGAGAGAGAGGAGATAACCCACTAAGTCCAATTTGTGTTGCCTGTATACTCCTGGGTGTGGGGCCATCTTTTTGGGGGCCTTCCTATCTTCATATTGCCTGGAAAGCTGCACATATGTAAAGTGTCAGGCTTATAGACCCTGGCCCAGAGATGGGAAAGGAGGTAGGGCAAGAAACATCCTTTCTCCCTGGCACCGTGGGCTCACCCTGTCCCAGGGGTAGGCAGAATGGGTTATGTGGGAAATATCCCTAAGTCCCAGCTTTCAGGACTTGAGCCTTTTGAGTCTGGTGCAGTGAGTGATCCAGTCTGTGGGACACTTGGTCTGTCTCCTTTTGAAAGCCCTAGAAAGGAGGGAGGTAAGAAGTGGAGGGAGACAGGTCTCTGCTAGAAGAACTTGACTCCTCGGCCATCACTGACAGTGATAATCTCAGCCTTGTGCTCCTGCTGTAGGGCCTGCAGAGCACGAAGTAGGGTCGCCTCATCCAGCCATGGAACTCTTCGTCCTCTTCGTCCTCTTTGTCCTCTTCGTCCCCACTGGTCAGTTCATACAGGGTAAACACAGAGTTGTTCTGGCCGCTCCTGGAAACCCATTGATAAATGAATTTCCCCCATTCTTCTGGCCTCCGCCACATGATCGGGAAGCTAGACTTATTCTAGACTTATCCTTATCCAACCCTTTCTTTCTTAGCTCCTCTAATACAATCTGGATTGATTCCACAGGAAGTTTCCGCTGTAGCTTGACGTTGTTGAGGAGCGGGCTCTCCTGGGCTTCCATCACCGTCATGCTGGACTGTTTGTGTCCACGTTTGGCTGTAACGTCAAGAAGGGCGGGAAGCGGTACTGCCTTGGCCACTGGAAACTCATCGCCATCGTAGTAGCCCAGAAAAACCGTGTGGAGCATGGTCAACCTATCAGAGGCCTTAATACTGACTCCATTGACTGTCAATAGCTATTCATAAGTTCATTTGTGCTACAAACTACACTTAGAGCTTGCAACTATTAGCACCATGACACAACGACTTCTAAAGAAAAATGTAGACTCTCATCTAATGAGACAATCAAAAATTTTAATCTCAAAAAAAATTTAATCTCTTAGCGAATTGAGGAAACAGTTGCTTATTAAGCACAGATTTGTGTACAAGTATATTTCACGTATACAATACAAAATATTTACTGTAAACAAGTATATATACCCACATTTTATTTAGCAAGATTATCGGGATGACAATTTTTGATGACACTAAGAGGTCAGAATTATACCATACATAGAATTTAGGGTGAGTCTTTGAAGGCTCATGATTTTAAGCTGGTCAGGAGCTAAGGGAACTGCAGGGTCTGTTCTCCCCTCATTCTCGTGTTTTCTTTTTTTGAAGTGGGGTCTCACCAAGCTATTGGCTTAAGTGATTCTCCTGCTTCCTCCTCCTGAGGAGCTGCAATTGCTGTGTGATTCACCACATTGAGTTAGAAGTTTTACCTTGTTTGTTCACTATGTTGTTCTGGCTATCCAGACATCAACCACAAGTATTTCCAGTTTATCATTCTCTCTGTCTGTCTGTCTGTCTGGATATGTGCATATCTTCTTTCCTTCTTCTGAGGCCCAGAGTTCAAACTCAGGTCATCAGCCAATTTTGAGATTTCGGGTATTGGAACAATCCAGAGAAGAATATCTGAAAAAGGGAGAACTCCTCTAGTTGTTTCAAATGAAATCAAAAGGGTTGTCTGGACAGAGTAATTTCATCTCGGCCTCAATTGTGCATCCATCATATGTCCTATAAGTGCACTTGTTTGAAAGATAGTGACATAACAAATTTGTCCAGTAAATCTCACCGGGGCAGGAAATGGGGCTTATAAAGCCCTAAAATTATGACCCAGTATGGTTTTTCCACTTTATCATAAATATTCTAATTAATCTTAGACAACATTATTTTGGTGAAATACCCATTAAGTGAGAGTGGTAAATCATTTACTTTGCTGCCCAACAGTTAAAAGTCATCACAGTCATCACAGCTCTGGGCTGATTTGTCATGCCTTTTTGTTACACACAGGATTTCTAGAAATTCTAGAAAATTGTTTCTATTGTTCATATCAACAAGAGTATGCTGAAGTTGATGGAACAGCTTTTTGGGGTAGCGGACCTGGAAGGACTAGCTTTGACCTTGTCATGACCTGCCTCCTTGTGTACTAGGATTACAGGTGTAGC